CTCAGCCATAAAAAAGAGTGAAGTCTTGCCATTTCCAACAAAATGGATGCACCTTGAGAGTATTATACTAAGTGAAATAAGTCAGAAAGAGAAAGATAAATACCATATGATTTCACTTATATGTGGAATCTACCAGAAAATAAAACAAACAACCTTATAGACACAGAGAGCAGATGGCTGCCAGGGGATTCAGGGGTAGGCAAAATGGGTGAAGGGAATCAAAAAAGGTACAAACTTCTAGTTATAAGATAAAGAAGTCATGGAATGGAATGTACAACAGGGAGTATAGAAAATATTTTACCAACTTTGTATGATGACAACTGGTAACTAGACTTATTGGGATTATTTCATAATGTATATGTAAAATCACTATGTTCTACACCTGAAACTAATATAATATTGTATGTCAATGATATTTCAATATAAATAAATAGGTGGCATGCTCAAGAGTATCTGGTACATTTCTGCTTGTCCTTTTTCCTGCAAGTGTGGCTGTGACAGTTACAAATGAATCAAGTTTTTGTCAACGCACACATTTGTATTGTTTTTCAAATCACTGAATAATATTTTTTCTTATCTGTCATGTTCTTGAGAATATAGGTTGATTTATCATACATATACATTTGTTTATATGTATGTGTATATAGGTATGTGTGTACATATATACACACACACACACACACGTGTGTGTGTGTGTGTGTGTAAGAGGCAAAAACAATGTACTTTGGACCAAACAGGCCTGAATTTATATTTGAGTTGTATTAGTCACTAGCTGTGTGTTATATTTACAAGTGACTTAATGTCCATAAGTCTCATTTTATCACCTGTAAAATAGGGATAATAGGAATTATCTCATAGTGTAGTTATGAGTATAGACTATAGTAATGTATTTCAAGCACTTGGTATAGTGCCCAACCTCCTATAGTAGACATTCAACAAGTGGCATTACTAGTAGTTAAGCACAGATTCTTGAAGGTTATATAAATTTAGGCTACAACTTTGGCAGTTTTTTTATAATCTATATAACTCTATAAAGTTTATATGTTATATAAACAGTATATATATATATATATATCATATATACACACATACCATAGGAGTTAGCAATTCCACTCCTTGGTATTTATTTAAGAGAAATGAAGGTATATTTCCACAAAACTACCTATATGCAGGTGTTTATAGCAGCTTTTTAAATAATTGACAAAAGCTGGAAACAACCCAAATGTCCATCAAATGATGAGAGGATAAACAGATAATAGTATATCCATACAATGGAGTACTACTCAGTGATATAAAGGAATGAACTGATACATGTAATAATATGAATGAATCTCAAAAGCATTAAGTTAGGTGAAAGAAGTCATATTCAAAAGGCTACCTACTATATGAATCCATTTATACGACATTCTGGAAAAGCAAAACTATAGGGATAAAAATCATATAAGTGGTTGACAGGTTGGGTGTAAATGAGGGCATTGACTATAATGGTGCACAAGGGAACATTTTGTATGAAGATAAGTATTATCACAAAGGATACTTGTATCAATAAGAATAATAGAAGTATAATACCGGCCAAAAAAGCAATTGTCTGTGAAATATTTAGAGTATCATTTATATAATGTTTAAAGACCTGTAAACAATAAGATATATTATCTATAAGTACATAACTATGTAGTGAAAGTATAAAATATTCTTGAAAATGATGAAACCAAATTCATGCAAGTGTTTCATTTTGGGGGTCGAAGGGAAGGGAGGGAATGTGACTAGTTAGTGTGATACATGTGCTGGGGTGGAGGATTTTTTTTAAGGAGGCAAAACAGCAAAACATTTTTCAATTTAAAATAAGGTCTAGAACTGTAAATGCCATCAATATTGTAGATAGGTATATTTAGTCGCAAATATACATATATTTATGTGTACACTATTTCTGGAAGGATATACAACAAACAGGTAAGTAATAATATCAGGAGGGAATTTGTAATAATGAGGGTTGGAGGTGGCAGAAAGATTTACTTTACATTGTATATTTTTTATATTTTTTGAATTTGGGGGGGTTTAGGTGCATATATTTTTATGTGATTATAAAATAAATAAATGAATGCATGCAGTTTTTATAAAAAACAATTGCCAAAAGTATGGGAAGCATGATGGGCCAAAACCAAAAAAAAATCTGATTTGTTAGTTTTCTTAATATCTGTGATATGAAATATGTTTTACTTGTAACATGTTGGAATTATATGCTAATAATAATGAAACTAGGAAATGCAAAAGAAACAGCACATTTAAATTAGTTATTTTTTGTAGTTATATTTTCTTACAGTATATATAACAAAAATCCACCTCAAACTAGCATAAACCAAAAGACAAAAAGGATGACTGTACCCAGAAAGTCCAAGAAATGGATGAGGATTTGTCTGGCCCTCGGGGACCCAGGGACACAAATGATGTCATCAGGATTGTTTTCTCCTTAGGGCTAGTGGAGCCTATCTACCTGAGTTCATCCTAGCTCCCAGCACTGAACAAGATCACTGTGGCATAGAGTAAGGGTATTTCCCCCTCAAAAAAGAGATATGCTGGCCAGATAAGAACATATCTGATAGAGGAAGGAGGTTGTAAAGCCACAAAGTTTATCAGAGCTTGGAAGGCAAGGCTCCAGCACCCAGACAGAAGATTAGATGTTTAGAATTGAGAAATTAAGTTGATTGCTATGAAGTAACACCACATCTGCATAACCAACTAAATGTAGGAAGTGAAATGTTCAATACTACCCAAAACTTAGGAATTAAAATAAAGTTTTCATGATTCTATTTTAATTGCAGAAATTTAAGCATAATCTTCATTATGGCATTTTCCTGCTAGAACATGGGTTTATATTTTGGGGGGTGTTTTTTTCCCCCTAGAAGTACCAGCTTAAAAAAAATCAGAATAAGCAATTAAGGTAACATTTATTTAGCAAATTCTCTGTTACCTGTCTAATATTTGATGTTCCTTAGATACATGCAACAGGATGTCTGACGTTTTGTAAGTTTAATGTGATATGTGCTTTTTTGTGTGATTCTTTTTTACTTGCCACTGTCGCAGTAGGTATCTGTGTCTTCCAACTTACTATTTCAGTCACATTTTATAGTATACTGAAAGTTGGCAAAGTTGTTCATTATTGGCATTAAGAAACAGCCACCTATTTTTATTTTAAATGCTTTATAATAATTTATGAGAATATTTCATCTATAATTCTAGAATGTGACATGTTAAAGCAAGTGTTCAGACATCTTAAATTTAATTTTATTTTATTTTATTGCGGTGACATTGGTCAATAGGATCATATAGGTTTCAGGTGTGAGTTTCTATGCTACAAGATCTGTATATTGACTGTGTGCCCACCACCCAGTCAAATCACCTTCCATCACCGTATACTAGGTCCCCTTCGCCCCCTACCTCCTTAGCCCCCTTTCCTGTGGCAACCACCACACTGCTGTCTGTGTCCACAAGTTTTGGTTTTATATCCCACATATAAGTGAAATCATATGGTTCTTAGCTTTTTCTTCCTGACTTATTTCACTTAGCATAATATTCTCAAGGTCTATCCATGTTGTTGCAAATGGCAGTATTTCATCTTTTCTTATGGCTGAGCAGTATTCCATTGTGTAAGGTAACTCTACCCCAAACGGAAAGCAAATTAATTAATTTAGTGCCTAAATTTATACACAAAGATCCAAACTGCTGTATGTTTTTGTAATTCTCCATTATTAAAATAGAAAAGTGGCATTGTCTAATGATCTCTTATTATATTACACTATGATCAGGATTTCACATTTTTCTTATGACTTCATCCTTGTGTCAAAATATAATTCCAGTGAACTCATATGAGTTCAGCAAAATTAGTGAGTTTCTGCCTTTATTGCCATTAGTGTAGTTTGTGATATGTGTGATAACAATTTGCTCTGTGTTATCTCTCAAACACCATTTAAAGTGAAGGACAACATTTTTATGCACATTAAACTCCAAGTAAACAAAACTGAAACCTGATTTTCCTGTGCCATATTTTAAAAGTTATGTTGAGAACATTTTGGCTATGCCTGAAATCAAGTGGGAACGATGGTTGGAAGATGGCATTTCTTTTAAAATTACTAGTTTGAACTCTGTTGAAAAACTGATTGCAGACCCTTTAGAATTAGAATGTTGTAGGCAGAGAGGAACAATAGCGTTTCCTGAGTAAAATATCTTTAACACTCAAGATTGCGCCCATCCTCCCTTTAGAGACTTTCCTGCAGAAAAGGAACTGAGAAGGTTAACTTATATCTGTGGGAATCAGTCGTNTTGAAAAACTGATTGCAGACCCTTTAGAATTAGAATGTTGTAGGCAGAGAGGAACAATAGCGTTTCCTGAGTAAAATATCTTTAACACTCAAGATTGCGCCCATCCTCCCTTTAGAGACTTTCCTGCAGAAAAGGAACTGAGAAGGTTAACTTATATCTGTAGGAATCAGTCGTGTGTGTGTGTGTGTGTGTGTGTGTGTGTGTGTGTTTTCATGTTAAATATCAAAGATAGCTTAACAACATATTTAGAATTTTCTGAGTTTTACTATTAATAAAGTTAAAAGAAAATCTAGTGTGATCAGGCAGTGGAGCCACAGTAAATTTGTATCTGAAACACCCAGTGTGCTTATCTCTGCTCTAGATATTGCTTTGGCCCCCTGTTCCACATTCTGAATTCTGTGTATAAAGTTAAACATTGCAGAAGGGCATATATCTGATGATACAGATGAATAAGGGTGAAGTTCAGGAATGAGTAAAGCTGGTATATTTAATAGGTTCAAGTATGCAGTATTTCTGTTATTGATATAATTGGATTATTTTGTGGGAAATTATTAAACACTCCTAAAAATACTGACAGGTTTAAAACTAACAGCAATTTAAGTCTCCTATTCATACTGTAGTACTATATTTTAACTCTATATCAAACTAATATTAAATTTCTTAAAATATTTGATTTCTTGCAGGCAAAGTTGTTAGCTATGCAACAAGCCAGAGAAACTGCAGTTCAACAGTACAAAAAACTGGAAGAAGAAATCCAGACACTTCGAGTTTATTACAGGTAAAATTCTTTTTAGCCTGGGCATAAGTGAGTATTGGTTTGGGAGATGCTGATACCCGATTTTACAGTGGTGAGAAGGAAATAAATCAATGAAATTACACATCATGCACTTAAAACATTTTTGGAAATTTAAAAATGATTGTGGCATAAAATATTTATTATTTTACCTCCTTTCCTCCCTCCATTTGGTAAGGTTTAAGTTTAGACTCCCAACAGACTTGTAAAATTTATATAACTCGTAACCAGTTGTCTGAATAGAGCCTGGTCAGCCATTGAACTATTGACTGACCTAAATGCTACCTCTAAAATGATAACATGTATTTCCAAAATAGTACATGAATATCAGCAATAACAGCCTTTCACCTATTACAATATAATATGAGAAGTTTCTAAAGGAATGCCATCGCACAGGATAACCTGTGACCCCCACTCCACTACCAGTGTGTTTTAAAGCTCCCTAGAAATTCCCAGGCGGGGCCAAGTTTGAGGGCCACTGCTTTACACGCACATTTTAGTTAGCTGCATTAAGTTAGGGGTCTCTTCTTGGTAGAGCATGTATTAAACCCTTTATTAGGACGTGAGTACTGTGTGATTTGTGCCCAGACTTTAGGTGCTACAGTGTGGTACATAGTGGCTTCACCCCATAGAAAGGAGAATTTTTATGGAACCTTCTCCTGCCATCCTTGTGAGAGAGGACAGCAGGTGCTGTGTCGATAAAGTGACAGTGTCCAAGAATTCCAAGAGGCATGTGGCAATCTTGCATTGCTTTTTGAAAAAAGATATATTATATTCAGTAATATAATATTACTGAAGCCAAGGAAGGACATTAAAAAAAAAGTCAAATATTGCTGAATGGTTAAGGTAAGGACAAAAAGTATCCTTTTTATTTGAAATTAGGTGGTCATTAATGACCTCCACCACAGTGGTTTTAATAAAGCAGGGAATATGGAAGCCAGTTTTCTGTGGATAAAGCACGATTAAAGGTAAAGAAGCATAGCAGTTTGGCAATTGGGTAGTCCTTAAAGAAACGTGAATAAGAGCCCTGGCCAGTGTGGCTCAGTTGGGCGGCATCCTCTGCACCAAAAGATCACCAGTTTGATTCCCGGTGGGAGCACGTGCCTGGTTTGCAGGCTAAGTCCCCAATAGCAGGCAGGCTGGAGGCCACTGATGGAGGTTCCGCTCTCACATCAATGTTTCTCTCTCCCCCTCTCCCTTTTTCCTCTCCGTAAAAATCAATAATTTTTTTTTAAAGAAACATGAATGAGAAAGATAGTTGAGACGAAAGAAGGTAGGTTAAGGATTTTGGTTTTGGTTTTTGAAAAATGGCAGGTACTTGAGCACACTTATGACTAATTAGAAGGAGCCACTAGAGAGAATTTTCGTGAACTAAGATTTCTAAAGGAGTGGGATGAGGTAGAATTTGGAATCTGAAGGAGAGTTTGCCTTGAACAGAAAGACGATCACCTTGTGCTCAGGGACAGGAGCGAAGGAGAGGCAAATAGCTGTGAGTATAAGTAAAGTTCAGTTCTCAGTGAATAGTTTTTTTTCTGTGAAGCAAGGGCCACTGTGGGCTTCTGAAGTGAGAAGTCAGGAGGCTTTGAAAGGAATAATAGATGAGCTACTGAAGGCAATGGGAGGAAAGAGCCAAATAAAGATAAGAAGAGCAAAGTCAGGCAATCTCGAAGATTAATCTGGGAACGAATGCCCTAAGTAGGTATGAGTTCTAGTTTGTATGGTTGTGTAACTTAACACATCCAGCTGTCCTTATATAGCAGCACAGAAGGCAAAGGATCAACATGAGTGAGAATTGTGAATTTTCAGGACTAAAATTATGGAGAGGACAGTGGTTGAGGGTACATTAGCAGAAGAGTTGTTGAAATGATGAGGGATAGTCTAAGCTAATTAGGGCAGGAACTGAAATGGAAGGGACATGTACTGAGAGAAAAGGGAAGAATCAAGGAATCATAAATCTTGAGGAGATTATAGAATAAATCGGGAGGGAATAAGAAAATTTAAGAGCTGAAAGGATTGAAGTCATAGTTGGAGAGTGGAACGTTGCTATTTAAGATCTCAGAGGTGAAGCACCAGATCTGAGCAGTGACAATGTTGAAGGCATTGCCTGAGAAGTGGGTGGTTGAAATGGAGAGAAGGTGAGGGTCACTAGCTCTGAAGTCAGATTTATGACACTAAACTATTAAATGCCCATTTGTATATTGTCCCTGAAAATATTGGCACAGGTTGGGGTACTGACTGTAAGTGCCAAGTAGAAAGTGACCTAACAATAGATGGATAAAAGCTGCATGTTGAAATGAAGAGTGACATATAACTAGTTGTAGCAAAGGAAAAAAACTGTACAGTGTGTGATGCATGAAAAAATGTGTGGTATCACCTCAAGAAAAATAGGAAAGTTGTAGCCTCAGAGAGACCCATGTTTTTATCAAAACAAAAAGGTACAGAGAACTTTTGTGCATTGCTGATAGGAATGTAAAACGATGCATCTGCTATGAAAACAATTTGGTGGTTCCTCAGAAAGTTACACATAGAATTCCCATACGATCCAGCAATTCCACCCCTAGGGATATACCCAAAATAACTGAAAGCGAGGACTCAGACAGATGCTTGTATAACAATGTTCATAACAGCATTTTTCACATTGTCCAAAAGAAGGAAACAACCCAAGTGTCCATCAGCAGATACATGAATAAACAAAATGTGTTCTATACCTACAATGGGATATTATTCAGCCATAAAAACTAATGAAATTCTGATACCTGTTACAACATGGATGACTCTTAAAAACAAGTTAATTGAAATAAACCAGAAAGAAAAGACAAATATTATATAATTCCACTTCTATGAGGTATGTAGAATAGGCAAATTCATAGAGACAGAAAGCAAAATAGAGATTACCAGGGACTAGGGGAAGAGAGGAATGATGGTTGCCAGTTGCTGGGGAAAGAGACTGCAGAGTTATTGTTTAGTGGGTAGAGTTTCTGTTTGTGATGTTGAAAAAGTTCTGAAAATGGATAGTGGTGATGGTTATTCAACATTGTCAGTGTACTTCATGCCACTGAATTGTACACTTAAAAATGGTTAAAATGTTAAGTTTTATGTTATTTTTTTACCACAGTTTTTTAAAGGTACAGAGAATGTTCCCTGAGGATGTACAGAAATTTATTTTGAATGGAATAGGTATAAGGTCCCTGGGATATAAAACTCTAGGAAGAAAGAGACAATTACCAGAAACAACAAAGCTTAAATTTCCTGGAAGTTTACATTCAGGTTCAAGTTGACTTAAATGAAAGTACACATTATTTCTTACACACCGATAGTGGCTATGAATCAATACATGAAACACAACCGTCTCATAGAGATGTTAGTTTTTTCCCCGTTTCCTGTTACAAAGTTCCATTTTTATATAAAGAAAACCAAGACTAATTCTGTAATTTTCGTGTGTGTGTGTGTGTGTAAAGAATTCATAATGGATTTTATTTAGCAAAGTTTAAGAAAAAATACACTTTGCGTATTTCAAATTTTATACTTACCTATACATATGGCGCTGGAGCCTGGAGCCAATCAGTATACAGCTTGCATGTGTACAATGAAACAGCAAGAGAGTTAGCCTCAAGGATAAGTCCCCACCTTGGCCAAGTAGCTCAGTTGTTCAGACCATTGTCCCCATATGCCAAGGTGGGGGTTGGATCCCCAGTCAGGGCAAGAGTCAACCAATGAATGCATAAATTAGTGGAACAACAAATCAATCTCCTTTTTCTCTCTCTAAAATTAATTAATTAACTAAAGGAATAAGCCTGGCTCTCAACTATGCAACAGCCAAAGCAGAGGAGGATGTTTAGTTTTAGGGGCAGATTAAAATCTGCTGGTGACTTTCATTTTACCTTGCCTTTAATTCTACCAATTGCTGATGTTGACCTTTTTCCCGAAAAAAATTATTTTCTTTTGCTGGATTATACTAAGAGCTAGTGCTACTTGAGCATTGCATCTCCCTGTATGGAAATAAGGAATAGGAACCACATCTTTCAGAGTTTCTCTTTTCTGTTCGTTTCCTTTGAGTTGTATAATTTGAGATACAAAGAAAAGGAAATGTTGGCCTTTGTTTCCTTTGGTGGAATGAGGTGAACGGGTAAGGATACTAAACTTACCATTATAACGGAAAGCTCTTTTCACATTAAGCAGAAGGGATAGCAGGAGAGGAATAACAATATAAGATTTAAAATAAATTTCCTTTATTACAAAAGTGCTAAGAAAGTACTAGTACTTCCTTGTTGCTGTGCCGAACGCTGAATTCATTTGCTGCAGCTTTGTTACTGTAAATCTAAACAGTTCCAACAGGGAAGCTTCTTAAACTGGTAAGGGTTAGATTTGTTAGATTAGTACTTGGTAATGACTTTTTCCTGTTGTTGTAAACCTGTAGTGCTGCATTCCTAGGTTCAGGAGGCATAATAATAACAGACTCTTTTCTAATCAAGAGACTGCCTCAGTTTCAGTGTTGGCTGATTTTATAGTGCTTCCTTATATTTTCTTTTGCTTAAAGAGTGTAAATTCAAATGTGTATATAAGAATTAGACTCTGTTGTTTGGTGCCAATAGACTAGGATTTAATATACTTACTTGTAATAACAGCAGTTTATATTTAAATTTTTTATTATGTATAATTACATGGGGGAAGTTGTAATGTCTTTCAGAATATGTCAGATTTTTCATTTTTGACCACAAATACTGAATGGAATGATCTATTTTATGATAGTAAGTTTCCTGTGGTGTGCTAGTATTTTTTAAATAAGTAAATAAAATACTTACGGGTTTGATATAGTGGAAACTAGACTAAACATGAACGCTACTTACTGGGGTTGTAATGTACATTTCAAAATCTTGGAAGCCATAAAGATAGAGGCCATGTAAAATATACTCGAGAGAGAGAAATTCTTAATTTTTCTCTACATCCTTTTTATAAATTCTATTTAGTATGGTTCTTTAACTTTC